AGGAAGGGAGAGGGATAGAGAGTTAGAAACATCGATGAGCGAGAAACATCAGTCAGCTGCCTCCTGCACGCCCCCTACTGGGGATGTGCCTGCTGCCAAGGTACATGCCCTTGACCGGAATCGAACCTGGGACCCTTGAGTCCGCAGGCCGATGCTCTATCCACTGAGCCAAACCGGTTAGGGCTGGGTGCAACTTTAGATTGCCTTGTCAGGGAAAGCAAATCTCTGAGGAAGTGACATTTATTTGTTTGTTTATTTATTTATTATTTTTAAAATATATTTTTATTGACTTCAGAGAGGAAGAAAGAGGGAGAGAGATAGAAACATCAGTGATGAGAGAGAATCACTGATCGGCTGCCTCCTGCACCCCCCACACTGGGGGATTCGAGCCTGAACCCAGGCAATGTGCCCTGGCTGGGAATTGAACCATGACCTCCTGGTTCATAGGTTGAGGCTCAACTGCTGAGCCACGCCGCTGGGTGCAAACAAGTTTCTTCATAAGTGATTTAAACTTGGCAAAACTAGTGTAATAAAGGAGTAATTAAGAGTCAAGATCATGGCAAACCAAGTGAATAAGCACAGCATATATTGTCAGGTTTTAATGATTAAAAATCCAAGAGATTACTTGCTGAATGTTTATGTCAGTTATCTTTTGTGTTTACTGAATCATAAGAATGCCAACATTTCTGCTGTAAGTCATAAATTTAGGAGCCAATCAGCAACTGCCCTAGAGAAACAGGTTCAGGAGACCCGTGGGCCAGAGTTTACCTGCTATTTCTAAAAAAATTGTGCCTTTGGATCGGACTATTGGGTCCAATTCTTTGTATTTTTATTTGGGGGAGGTAAGAAAGGGAACAGTATCAGGGATCCTGGAACATTTTAAGATGTATATATTTTTGAAAAGTTAGAATAGGAATGGTTGTTACAATAACAAATAGTCAACTAATGAAACATATTTTCAAGTGATCTCTTATTAAAAATAAAAACCTTTGTTCTTTTCAGCGACCTTTGGCTCTGGGAGCTGATATTTGTATGTATTCAGCAACAAAATATATGAATGGTAAGACATGCAGAATCTACACTTTGAAAGTTCTTTTCCATGAATCGATGAAAATAGCGTAGGGCTATTTTTGACACGTTTGATCCCTTTTCTTCCACTATTATTTAGGTTTTCTCTGTGACTCATGTAGCAAGTAAAAAAATTACACTTTGATTAAATATAAGATTTCATTTATAACAAATCTAACTATGCTCATGATTTATGAGCAGAGGATTAAATTTTTTTTTAAAATATATTTTATTGATTTTTTACAGAAAGGAAGGGAGAGGGATAGAGAGTTAGAAACATCGATGAGAGAGAAACATCGACCAGCTGCCTCCCGCACACCTCCCACTGGGGATGTGCCCACAACCAAGGTACATGCCCTTGACCGGAATCGAACCTGGGACCCTTTAGTCCGCAGTCCGACGCTCTATCCACTGAGCCAAACCGGTTTGGCGAGAGGATTAAATTTTACTATAAAAGATTATACGTTCATCCTGCTTACAGCTTTAAAAGAAACATTTACTTTTTATATGATTTTTATTTTATTATTTTGAGTATGGCTTTTGCTATTATAAAATAAAGTTTATTTAAACTTATTCTAGAGGGCTTTTTTCCAGAGTTCGCTCAAGTGATAATCACATTTTAGAAATTATAAATTGAAGTAAAAACAATTATAAATTGAAGTTCAAGATGTTTTTAACTTAACAGTGTTTGTTTTTTCTCAGGCCACAGCGATGTTGTAATGGGCTTAGTGTCTGTTAATTCTGAGAGCCTCCATGATAAGCTCCGATTCCTGCAGAATTGTGAGTATTAAAAAAATCTGGATTATTTTATGGTCTCACAGGGGCTACATTTAATCTTTTTATTTCCACTAAATGTTGTAAAGTGATAGCATTCTATTAATTTAGAAAGAAATCAGAAAAAAATTGGGTATTTAGAGGAAAGTAGAAAAATGGGGTTATAAAGATTTAGTTATAGGGTAATGGAGCTTTACAGCATGGCACACAGGATGAGTTGTGTTTTTTCAAATCCATGTTAATTTTGATCATAACGTGGTTAAAGCCCAAGTGGATTTTTAGTTTTAAGACTTAATGAATTTTTTTTCTTTTCTTTAAACACCAACATTTGGTATGATGACTTTCTTATATTATACTTTTTATATCTGAAATGGTGGTGAATTTTAAATAGCACATAAGATATAAACATAATTTTCATCAGATGTCTGTCTACACATCACTTCCTGGTTAGATTGTTTAGTTATCCCAGGATAGATAGGAGTTATTTTTAAGAGACTTCAATGAATTATTACAGTTTGACAAACACATAAGATACAAACATAATTAGGGATACAAGTGCCCTTCTAGGAAGTAAATATTAAAGTAACAAAAGGGGGCTCTGAGGAGGGAAACTAAAACTTATTGCTTGTTAAGTTTCATTTGTAAGAACCGGAGTGTGGTCCATATCCTGGAGGCATGTAAAGTCATAGGCTGCTTTAGACAAAAGCTAAATAGACTATCCGTAGAACATTCAGTAATAACAGGAACTGAACTGCTTTTTTCTCTATATGTTGTAATACTTTTGCAAAGAAATACAAGGCTCAGCTCTGTGCAGTATGCCATTTTATTAAGATCATAGAAAGGACTGTTTATGTTCATATCCGAAAAGTTATTGTGTTTGTACATAATTTTCAGGATATTCCTTTTTCCTCTCATTTTAAAGCCCATTCCTCTGAGCATAAATTATGCTACATTCTCATGCTTCTGATTTGAGATATTAATCCCCCTGCCCCGCTAAACCTCAAGCATTGGATTTTGTAGCTAGCTTCTCAGAGACACTATCATGAAAAAGAGGGGTCAGAAAATGTTAGGGATTCCTACCCACCTTCAACGCTAACCCAGGATATGTTTATTTTGCAGCAATTGGGGCAGTCCCCTCTCCTTTTGACTGTTACCTCTGCAATCGAGGTCTGAAGACACTACAAGTCCGAATGCAGAAGCATTTTGAAAATGGAATGGCAGTTGCTCAGTTTCTGGAATCACATCCTCTGGTGGAAAAGGTTATTTATCCTGGTATGTTCATCTGAGTTCTAAGCACATATTCTTGGGATTGTAAGGCTTATCCTAAGCATCCTGTGTATGTAACATTTATTTGTAAGTTAGGTGCTTTCATATATTTTCATGTTCATTAATTATTGAATGCTGCTGGGTGTCAGCTCTGTGGTGGTTCTGGTGGTAAAGAAGATAGCCATGATCTATGGCCTTGTGTTGCCTAGTGGATGTTAAGAAATTAGTCTTGCCCAGCCGGGGTGCCTCAGTGGTTGAGCGACGACCTATGAACTAGGAGGTCATGGTTTGACTTCCCGGTCAGGACACACTCAATCTCCAGTGTGGGACATGTAGGAGGCAGCTGATGATCAATGATTCTCTCTCATCATTGATGTTTCTATCTCTCTCTTCCTCTCCCTTCCTCTCTGAAATAAATAAAAACATTAAAAAAAGAAAGAAATTGGTCATATGCATTAGAGCAGCAATTTTCAGCCTTTTAAATCTCATGGCACATATAAAGTAATTACTAAAATTCTGTAGTGCACCCAAAAAAATTCTATTTTTTGCCAATCTGACAAAAAAAAAGGTACAATTTTGATTCATTTATACCAGACAGCTATTGTTGTGTTATTGTTGTTGTTGTTATTGTTTATATTTTTATTGATTTCAGAGAGGAAGGGAGAGGGAGAAAGAGATAGAAACATCAATGATGAGAGAGTTACCTCATTGATCAGTTACCTCCTGCAAGCCCCCTACTGGGGATCAAGTCCCCAACCCAGGCATGTGTCCTGACTGGGAATCAAACTGTGACCTCCTGGGTCATGGGTCGATGCTGGGTCACTGAGCAACACCGGCCGGGCCATTAGCTCTAACTTTTTTCTGATTTAGGTTGGAACTTGATATATCTCTATTACTTACACCCATCAAAATCCCCCCAAAGTTCTCTTCCTTTTTGAATTCCTTCACATCTAACAACCTGAAGAAATGCTCATGTGGAGTTAGCAGACTTACATGTTACTGTTTGAATCTATTTTGCTAATGGTTTGAATTGTGGTGGTCTTAAGTAAATAGCTATTTTAAACTCTTAGATGTACAGGAGAATTAAGCCTGATTCCTACCCTCAAATAACTTTAATAAGCCAAGGCAAAAATACAAGGTGGGCAAAAGTAGTTTTATAGTCATGAATACATGAAACACAGAATTTATTCTTATATTATTATTTATTAATTATTGTATTATTTTTCATAGAGTCACTGTAAACCTACTTTTGCCTCATCCTGTATCTATGCTAGTAAGTGCCCTATATGTACATTTTGAATGAAGGAAGGGAGAAATGTTTTGGGCTGTGAACTGAAGAATGGGTATCATTTGTTAAAAAGGCTTGGACAAGGCATTTCAGATTCATTCAGTAAATATTAATTGCCAGCTACGGACCAAGCTTTGTACTAGCAACTGGAATCCAATTATCAACAAAAGGAAAGGATTTCTTATGGAACTGTTGGGAGCCCGGGGACAGGCACCATGTGTGAGATGGTGGGTCAGACTGGACCTGGGTTCAGCAACCTTGGTACTTGAGTTCAGGCTAGGAAAGAATTCAGACTATAAGAGAATTCAGACTATAAGACTCAAACTATAAGAGAACATTTATTTAGAAAATTACAGAGGTAGAAGTAATTCATAGAAGAAATGGGCTGAAGAAACAAGTTATAGAGGCAAAGGAAGGGCCCTTGGAGCTTGGGAGTGAGGAAGTTAAAGATGATACTAGTTGGGAGGGGGAGGGAAAAGGCCTCAGCATGCTCCCGGTAGAAGAGTGAGCTGGCTTCTCTGTCTTAAGGGTGTTAAGGATGGAGATTTTAGGAGAAGATCTCAATAGAATATTCATCAGCTCTCCAGGTGTGTTCTTTCAGGGTCAGGTTCTCCACTGATTGTCTGGTCAGCGCCAGGGCAGGGGGTCATTATCCAATGCAGCCGTCCTTGAGGTCAGCCTTGGTGTAGCTGGTCTGGTTTTGCTGTTTTTCTGGGCCGGGAGCTGAAATACAGCTGAGGCCTAGATGTTATCTGTAGGGACAAAAGGTCAGGGGGTCCAAATCTCATGACCAGCGATAGGCTAGAGAGGAAAGGTCATCCTGGGATGATGTCCCACCTGCAATTGTCCTTTTTGCACCCAGGGCTTTCCGCCCTGGTGACCTTTTGTACCTGGCCCATCGTCCTTGCTCTGCTCATGTTTGTCTGTCTATGACAGAACTAGGTTGGTGAATAAGACAAATATTAAGCAGGACAATACAGAAGGATGTAATTAACAAGGGGTAGGGCAGTCAGTGTAGAGAATGTTCCAGGCAAAGGTCCTGATGATAACCGGAACGGTGAGCGATTTAAGCAAAAGTGTGGAAAATGTGTTACAAGCAGATTCCGACTCCCCTCACGGGGAAGGGGGTGCCCAATAATGGGCTTCCCGTTAAAGCCTTGTAGTCCTGGGGTATATATTTGCTACAAGCCTGCTTCTATATCTATCCGCGTCGTCACCCGATTGATTCCCTCAGTTGTTCTTGCCCAGCAACGGACCTGAACTTTCCCTGTTTCTATGTCTTCTTTCTCTGTCCCTACGCTGAACTTTCCCTGTTTCTATTCATCAGTTCACCTTATTGTTGCAGACCCTCCCTTATTTTCCCATGCCTCCCGCTTTGAGTCTAGAAATATTTTATAATTTCTGCATGGTCGGTTCCTGTGGTGAGGCTGGCTCACACTGCCGTGTCTGCCCTGCCTATGTTCCACCTGCCTTTGTTTTCCACTGGACCCCTGTCCTATCTGTCTGTGTTTCAAATGAACCCTTTCACTGAGATGAAAATAGGGTGTGGTACTTCTGGTGTAAAGAAAGCTGGTGTGGCTAGAGCATGGAGAGCATAGAAAAGAGATAGAAAGGAAGCCAGAGAGAGAAAGACGGGCCAGAACAAGCAGCCAGCTGAGACCATTGGGTAAAGCTCACGATTAGGCTTATTTGTAGTTTACTTGAGCAAACTGATTTTCTTGTTTTGTTTTGAAATTACTTGTTTGACTCTAAACTAAGACTTTATTACAGGGCTGCCCTCTCATCCTCAGCATGAGTTGGCAAAGCGTCAGTGCACAGGTTGCCCGGGGATGATCACCTTTTATATTAAGGGCGCTCTTCAGCACGCTGAGGCTTTCCTCAAGAGCCTGAAGGTAAGCTTTCAAAACAGGTTATTAAATTCTAGAGGTAAGACCTTCTTTCGGCAGTTTATTATCTCTCACTTCCATCCAACTCAGATGTATGTTTTTGTACCTGCAGATCACACCTACAAACCTCTTTATCATGAAATGCATTGGGTTAGAAAATGGCTTTGGTGTGGTAGCAGATATCTGAATATGTGTATTTATTTTGCTCTCCAGAGACTGTCATCCATTTGAGAGAGACAGGATGTTCTAGCGCATAGGTTTTCAAATTTATTTAAAAGTAAACCCCTTTTGCCCTAGCTGATTTGGCTCAGTGGATAGAGCGTTGGCCTGTGGATTTAAGGATCCCAGGTTTGATTCCAGTCAAGGGTATATGCCTGAGTTGCAGGCTCAATCCCCAGTAGGGGGTGTGCAGAAAGCAGCCAATCAATGATTCTCTCTCAGCATTGATGTTTCTATCTCTCTCTCTGTCTCCCTTCCTCTCTGAAATCAATAATAATAAAAAAAAGTAAACCCCTTTCCCAAATGAAATATTATGTGAGACCTCAAAGTAAGGTGCTGTTAGTTCAATGTCTGAGGCTATGCTGGAACCCAGCCCAAGAATGGCTTTCCAAACCCTGTGGCCTCCCAGGATGCAACTGCCTGGAGTGAGGGAAGGGAAGGCCGTTGTCTAATTCCACAGTGGCAGGAAGTTCTCAGGGGCCCAGGGAGAGGCCTACATAACCACACACGAAGCTTTCATTGGTCAACCTCATGCAGTAGACTGAGCTTTAAATACTATCGGTATAAAGAATAGGGTGCTACCAGATTTGTCAAAGCCCTCCTGGTCCATCTCTGAAATCAGAAAAATAGCAGTGTGTATTTAATTTAATATGGCTGTGAGAGTAATTTTTTAAATATTTATAAATTCTTTGCTACTATAACACTAAATACCAAAACTGAGTTATTTTTTCTTCTATTCCAGGGGGCAGTTCAATGGATGTATTAATTTAATAAGTGATACATACTAACAAATAAGTACTTAAACATTTAGATATTTTTCTTTAAAGGGTAACGTAACTGGACAATCAATGGGTCCACACTGCCTGTCACTACTTGAGCCAATTAAGCAGAGAAGGGGTTGAATCATCCACAAAAATCTGCTCTGCAGCCCCCTATAAGCCAGCTGCTTATATAGGGTAGGACAAGGATTACATGGGGAAGTAGGGATTACAGGAATGGGAAAGTAGACAATGCGGGATGGGACTCCATTATTTGGGCAACAAGGTTGTTAATCCTTCCATGATAATAGGCAGGTCTTGAATGGACTGCATTCCAAGGTTGACTCCCAGGTCCCAGGGGCTTACAGCTCCCAGCCAGAGTAGACTGTCCTTTCCTTAACCAGAACAAAGAAATCATGGTTAACAGAGCATAATTAATATTTCCCATAACCATAACTAGTCCCCAATATTCTTAGTGCCCCTAACCACAGAGTTCTTCTATTCCAGGGGGCAGTTTAATGGATATATTAATTTAATAAGTGATACATACTAACAAATAAGTGCTTAAACATTTAGATATTTTTCTTTAAAGGGTAACTATAACTGGACAATCAATGGGTCCACACTGCTTGTCACTACTGGAGCCAATTAAGTAGAGAAGGGGTTGAATCATCCACAAAAATCTGCTCTGCAGCCCCCTATAAACCAGCTGCTTATATAGGGTAGGACAAGGATTACATGGGGAAGTAGGGATTACAGGAATGGGAAAGTAGACAATGCGGGATGGGACTCCATTATTTGGGCAACAAGGTTGTTAATCCTTCCATGATAATAGGCAGGTCTTGAATGGACTGCATTCCAAGGTTGACTCCCAGGTCCCAGGGGCTTACAGCTCCCAGCCAGAGTAGACTGTCCTTTCCTTAACCAGAACAAAGAAATCATGGTTAACAGAGCATAATTAATATTTCCCATAACCATAACTAGTCCCCAATATTCTTAGTGCCCCTAACCACAGAGTTAGGTCTCAGATGTAGTAATTCTGAGGTTTTAGAGCTCAGGTTAAGTATTGTTCATGTATAGGGCCAATTAGGAAGGTATAGGAGATTCACTTTTATCAATTTTTAATGTTGTGAAAGTTTATACATAGTATGTCTAATTAATGAAATCATTGTTATGGATTCTATTCTCATTTTTTTCTCTGACTTTCTTGCCCAATTATCATTTATTCATAATCACTATTTCCCATCCTCTGTCCCACGGCCATTTTATTAAAAACATTTACTTTTAGATATTTGTATTTTTATTTTGGTTGAAGTTCTAAATTAATATTTTCTTTGCTATAGTTATTTACTCTGGCTGAGAGCTTGGGAGGATATGAGAGTCTTGCTGAGCTTCCGTAAGTATGTTTTTCTCTTTCATAGTATTTTAACTTTGATGTCAGTTTTAATGATCATTTGATAAAGGAATATGTTAAAACCCGAAATAATTCAAGATATTTAGTGATCAGAAGAGCATGGTACTATTTAATCAGAATAGATACTGACTCAATAGAATGGAGACTGATGAAATCTCATGGAGACTCTTACCAGTGTTCTCCAGAGTTTACTTCCACGCCTGTTCTGTCTGAAGGACATTCCAGCAGAAGTTGTATGTCAGGCTTTCCGCCTTTGGCCCAGGACTACTTGTTCTATCCCACTCCGCCCTGGAAGGGAGATGAAGACTTTGTCCTGGAAGGGCTGATTTCAAGGCTCCCTGGGAAATGGGGAATGTGTCTCTGATGAAACACCTCCACGCCTTGATTGTCAGAAGAGGGCCCAACTAGCTACCATCAAATATCTAAGAAAAGATTTCAATCAAGGACATTGTAGAAAAGCAGGCAAGAATTTATTGACTGCAGCAAAAACACGTAGGACAGTGACACAAGGAAGGGCATAGGAGAAGCAACAGGAGAGCCTAGGCTGGGCTGCTTTGGCTCACTGGGAAGTCAGAGAAAAGGGGCCCTGGGGACAGGGCCAGGGTGTTAGCCTGGGACCAGCTGCTACTGCCCATTGCTCTCCTGGTTACAAGTCTCTTGGGGCCCCTTGGAGTTTAGGAGATAGGTGCCTGTGGGGGGAGGGGGAGGGAGTGCAGCACCTTATTTTACAGACAAGGAAACAGATTCAAAAAGTTTTGCTGATCCCTCAAATGTCACATGGGAATATGTTAGCAACTTAACTCTTGAGGCTTTGCAACGAGGGGAGGTAAAAGCAGCCTGGATCTGGAGTTGATGCCTATTCTACCAGTTACTTAACCTTTAAGCTTCAATTTTTTTATCCATAAAATGGGCTTAATATTTGAAATAATGATTATCATTTATTGATGACCCATCCCACCAAGCATTCCTGAATTATGTCCTGACTTCATTGTATGTTACTCTGACCATATGATGTAATTATTGCAGTGGTCAATCAAGAACATTACCTACTAATTTTCAACTGCTTGTGTGTTTTAATTTCCATACACATTTCTGGAATAACTATGTTCTGGAAGCATTGTACTGAGGGGTATTAGAGATGACCAAAATCTGGGCACATTTTCTGCTCTCTCATTGTACTTTACAGTTTCTGAGTAGAGTTAGGCAATTTCACAAAGTTAAAAAGAAGAAATGATGCCCCCCAAAATGACTCAAATAATTAAGATAACACTTAGAGGTTTTGTTCATCTTTCAAGGAAATGCCTGTTAAGTCTGGATGCACAAGAGGGCACACTCAGCATATGAAATTGGGTTATTTTTCATAGTAATGAAATGTGTATTACTTTAAGGCGAGTCTTAAACCTCTCCTGGTTTGTTAGGGATTTGGTTTAAAGTTGCTTGGCCCTCAGACGCTCCTGCTAGGCCATAACCCTGCTGCCTGTAGAGGAGTGAATTTAGGTCAAGAGCTTGCTGTTCTATCACCCTCCTTCTGTCTCTCCCAACTTGGCTGCAACTAGTGCAGCATTGCAATCAGAGAGGGAGGAAGCCGAGCCAGTGTGCACTGGGTTGGTCTCCCAGCCTGAAAACATGTATTAATTTCGTGACCTTAGAAAAATTGTTTATCCTCTCTCAACCGCAGTTTTCTCCATTGTAAAATGTGGATAATACTGTGCCCAGCTCTTAGGGTTGTTGTGAGAACATGGGAGAAAATAATGCCTCAGCTAATGCCTTGGTTTATATTAAGTGCTCAGTAAACGTTAACTACTCTTACAGATTATTTTTTATCAGGCATTTAGTACATTACTATATTGCAGATACATCCCAGGTACATGTAAGTGCTTTATATATGTTCCTTCCATTAAGGACTGTGACACACTTTTGAGATAGATGTTATATCCAGTTTTTATCCATTAAAATTAAATTAATGCACATAAATGACCTAGAGTACCTATTTCATGAGCAGCATACAATAAGTGATAGCTACTATTATTTCAGATAAGGAAATGCACTCTGAGGAGAGGTAAGTTTTACAAGCCCACACAGCCAGTATGTGGAGGGGCTGAGATTCATACCCACGTCTATTGGTCTCAGAGGCCTAAGTTCTTATTTCTACCTGTGCATGCTCTGTTAGGGAATTAAGAGCCTGAAAAGGCAGAACATTTTAAGGAGGCTGTTTACATGTAAAACTTAGAGTAGTGAAAGAAGATACCCATTTACTTTGACCACAACTGAGATTTTCTTTCCATGGGCCTGACGTGAGGTAGGAGAAAGCAGCTTAGGCATTGATTTTACTGGTGGTGTGCAGGGAGAGGTTGAGTGTTGGTGGCAATGTGAGTATTAGAGTTCAGAAAGACTATAAGCCCCTCTGTGATGCCTCAGCCCACAGAGATCTCCCCCCGCTGAACTCTGGCAGTCCTAGTTTTCATACGGGTTTGTGTTGACTCTTCTGTTTTGTGAATTGTCTTAGTCTTTAGCTCCTGCTTTGTTATCTAGGGTAAAGAAAATATCTCATAAAATCTCATTTTTATTAGTTTTCTAACTCTCACTATAATGCCTGACCCATAGTAGGTGCTTTGCCTTTACACCTGGGTTATGTGCCAGAATTCCGGTTGCACACTGGCGGCTACTAGTGATCCTGGTTGCCTTTTCCAGATCTGCCTCAGAAGGTCCAGTTCTGGATTGATTCATTGATCCAGAAGAAATTAATTCTGACTGGCTCTTGGTCCCAGAGGCCTCTTGTAAGTTCAGCTGGTTGGTCATGGGGTATGATTTCTGGCCAAGGTCTCATTCAGGCAAGGGATTAAAATCCACACACTGGAGGCCCTGTCTTTCCCTCCTGCATAGGGGTGCTTGACTGGCACCTTCAGTGTCTGGATTGAGTATTCCTTACTGACGCTATAAGTTGATAAAAGAGTTTGAATTGCACTTAAATGACTAGAAAAGATAATATTAACAATTCCTTTTTTTTTTGCCTATGAAAAATTATAAGCGTATGAAGAATTTGATATTTAGAGTAGAAGAAATTGGAAGATGATTGCAATTTATGATTCAGAATATGCCTCCATTGATATAATATAGTGACAAAAAATTTGCTCACTCTGGGCCCGGCCGGTGTGGCTTAGTGGTTGAGCATTGACCTATGAACCAGGGGGGTCATGGTTCAAGTCCCAGTCCAGGCACATGCCTGGGTTGCAGGCTCGATTCCCAGTGGGCGGCCGGAAGTTGCAGGAGGCAGCTGATCAATGTTTCTCTCTCATTGATGTTTCTATCTCTTTCTCCCTTCCTCTCTTTGCTCACTCTGGGCCCGGCCGGTGCGGCTTAGTGGTTGAGCATTGACCTATGAACCAGGGGGGTCATGGTTCAAGTCCCAGTCCAGGCACATGCCTGGGTTGCAGGCTCGATTCCCAGTGGGCGGCCGGAAGTTGCAGGAGGCAGCTGATCAATGTTTCTCTCTCATTGATGTTTCTATCTCTTTCTCCCTTCCTCTCTGAAATCAATAAAAATATACATTTTTTAAAAATTTGCTCATTCTTCCTTCCAGGGCAATTATGACCCATGCATCAGTGCCTGAGAGCCACAGAGAGGCCCTTGGAATTAGTGACACACTGATTCGACTCTCTGTGGGCTTAGAGGATAAAGAAGACCTACTGGAAGATTTAGATCAAGCTTTGAAGAAAGCAGTAAGTTTTATTACTTTAGTGTTTTTGGGTGTGTGTGCGTGAAAGTGGTGCTTAATCTTGGGATTGGGGCTCATATTTATAAAGAGAGGCCTTGCTATGAATGCTTAAAGGTTTTTCTCTTCTCTTCCTACAATTAACAGGGTGTATAAATGTGCATAGAACTTAGTCGAAGTGCAGATTTAAAAGATGGTAGTATTCAGAAAAGAGTCCTTAGGGGAGGTGAAGTCATTGCCAGCATGTTTAATAACCTGTTTTTCTTGTGCACTGTTTTTACAGCACCGTCCAAATGCATATTGAACCTAGCATCCCAGAACTGCTATTAGAAGTTGCTTCCTGAGAGATCAAATATTCTGAATAATCGAATGGACCATTAATGAACTTTTATAGATTTTCAAGTGAAAATTTTAAGGCACCTCATTACCTTTCACACAACTGTAATCTTCCAGGGATCATCCCTGTTTTCCACAGTTTCCTCTTTCCCTTATTGTCATTGACAGGTCATTTCTGTTAATATCTTTTTGTTAATTTTGGCATACATTTGCCTTTGAAGGAGGTGAAATTTGTGTTGCTTTTTGGGATTATTCTCTTTTTTTCATAGCTTAAGAATTATATTGATCATGTTTACAATATAGTGATAATTCACTTTTGATGTTTTCTGAAGAACTTAAATTATTAAATGAATGTTTTTAAATCAACTGTGATTTTTCATATCATTGAAAACAGCACTAAAGCAATGGTTTACACTTAATTACCATGAGCCAAATATCACATGCCTGTAAAGTTTACTGTGAAATTCTAGTGATTTAAGATGGTGTTTACTATTTTAAAAAAATAAATCTAATTATCAAATCCATTCCATTGTGATGTTTCTATATTATGTAGAATTAACTTGGATTCCTGGGCCCTATGAGTGCTTAGCTCTTATGTTAATTTTATCAATTCAATTGTAGAACTATGATACCCAAATCTTAGTGTTTGCAGATTAGTTACAAATTCTATACATAGAAGGTCAAAAGCCACTTTTATAGACAGAAATAATACTTTTTTAGATTTTATCTGAAACAGTAGGTTTGTGAGGCTAAGGAAGAAATGTGTAAAATAGAATCTTTTATAACTGAAATGCATAACAAGTTATTGTCAATGAGTCATAAGTCAAATAATTAGATTTTTTTTAAAAATATATTTTATTGATTTTTTTACAGAGAGGAAGGGAGAGGGATAGAGAGTTAGAAACATTGATGAGAGAAACACCGATCAGCTGCCTCCTGCACACCCCCCACTGGGGATGTGCCCCCAACCAAGGTAAGGCACATGCCCTTGGCCGGAATCGAACCCGGGACCCCTCAGTCCACAGGCCAACGCTCCATCCACTGAGCCAAACCGGTTAGGGCCAAATAATTAGATTTTTAAAATTGTTTTTATGCTAAAAGCTTTCAGTCATTTGTTTGCTACCGCCATTTGTTTCAGTGTTAAAAAAAAGTGTATTGAACTTGATTAATAATAGTGCTGCGTAGGAGGGGAATTCATACTAACACACATTCTTATGTGTTACCCACATTCTGTATAGTCTAGAAATTCTGTCTATAGGCAGCAGCATTCGAGGCAGGTCATATCTCACTATGGTTTCTGGCAGGCCTGATTTCTTGCTTTCTCAGGACCTGAGGGCTGCGGAAATAAACAGACTCAGCCAAATAAGAAAAGCAAAGACTATTTATTCTGAGTTTGCAAGGGAGTCAGCTACTGTTACTTGTGTTTTGTCAGAGACTCAAAGGCAAGCCAGAACATAGGGAATTGCAGAAATTTTTACTATTTGTTGATACAGATGGATGAGAAACTAAAACTTCCATATTTAAAATTGTCAGATGACTCAATTGGATAACATTAACTCACTGTTAGAAATATTAAAAAGAAAAAAAAAAAAGACTAAAAACACCAAAGGCAGACAGGGAGTGGAAAAGCTTTAGAGTGTACAAAAGGGAAGGCTTCAGATATGCCCTGATCCAGAGTTCTGCTGGCGTTTGGGAAGCTGTTGGTGAGCTAATTTGAAGTGGAACATCCTATGTGATTAGTACACATTTGGTTTTCTAGAGTTTATCCTTATTCAAAAGCAGGGACAAAAATTAGGGAAGCTGTCAATTATTAATCAAGTCCTGGCCATTTGGGGCTGATTGTTATAGAAGTGATTGTTTAGCTTCCCAGATTGTCACTAGAGATAGAAGTAGATTTTCAGCAAGGCCAGCTTCCTGGGTTGTTTATAGATGTGTTTCCAGGAAACCCCTGGTTGGGCTCGGGCTGCCTGTCACTGTGTCCAATAATGAAGGCAGGGTTGAATCACATAAGGCAGCGCTTCTCAACCCGTGGGTCACGACCCCTTTAGGGGTCGAACGACCCTTTCACAGGGGTCACCTAAAACCATCGGAAAACACATATATAATTACATATTGTTTTTGTGATTAATCACTAGGTTTTAATTATGTTCAATTCGTAACAATGAAATTGGGGGTCACCACAACATGAGGAACTGTATTAAAGAGTTGAGGCATTAGGAAGGTTGAGAACCACTGATATAAGGCATTTATTTAGAAGGCCAGCCAACTAAGAAGACAGGGCCCTTACATACATTCAAATCTTGTCTTAAGCAAGGTGCAGGGGACAGGATTATAAAGGGAAGGGGCTAGGGCAGTGATGGCGAACCTATGACACGCGAACTCATTTTTTGGTTGATTTTTCTTTGTTAAATGGCATTTAATTATATAAAATAAATATCAAAAATATAATTCTTTGTTTTACTATGGTTGCAAATATCAAAAAATTTCTATATGTGACACGGCACCAGAGTTAAGTTAGGGTTTTTCAAAATGCTGACACGCCGAGCTCAAAAGGTTCGCCATCACTGGGCTAGGGTGATGCTGGTAACGGAATGCAGCTACCTGCAGTCCTGGAGGTCCCCAGATGTCAGCTATTGTCCTTAATCATCAGGCAATGAGATGATGAGATGATATTTTGACTCCTGGTGGGTCGGTCTAACCATGCTTATCGGTTCTGCTTGCTGGATTCACAGCTGAGTCACCTCCCTAATCTCTTCGCACAGGCCTTGTGAAAGAAACTTAAAAACTTAACCTCCTATTCACATACTTTTAAGTGTTCTAAGATTTAAAATAATATGATTATTTTTCAGATTAATTCATGTGCTCTATCTTATCAGATTATAGATCCCCTATCAGATGTGGGAGTTGGTTTTCTGGGGAGGTTGCTGTAGACTGTGGGTCAAAGTTCTATATAAATGGTCTATCCATTGTCTATTTGTATATTCAGTCTCATAAGTAAGTAGCTACCATTCTGTTAGGGTTCTCCAGAGAAACAAAACCAATAGGATATATGTGTGTGTGTGTGTACCTATACATATATGTGCATGTATATATGGAGAGAAATTGATTTTAAGAAATTGGCTCATGACTGTAGGGGTTGGTAAGTCTGAAATTTATTGGGGGGGGGGCGGCGAGGCTGAAAATTCACAAAGGAGTTTTGCAATCTGAAGGCAGAATTGTTTTTCCTTTGGGAAACCGTAGGCTTTGTCCTTAAAGCCTTCAATTGATTAGATGAGGCCAACCCACAATCTAGAGATTGATCTCCTTTACTCAAAGTTTACTGATTTAAATGTTAATCACATCTAAAAAATGCCTTCACAGCAACATCTAAACTGGCATTTGACCAAATAGCTAGGGTACCATAACCTAGCCAAGCTGACACATAAAATTAACCATCCCATCCATGTTATAGGCACTGTTCCTTACTGCCTGAGAAGGCACCATTATGTTTATTAGGATTTATGAAGTTTATCTGTAGCTTTTGGTTATGTTCAGGCAATGTCTCTCTCCATTAGCATAGTTTACACCAAGATGATGATTCAGTGTTTAAACACTGTACCACCCTCCCCTGCCCCATTTATAGAACATCTGCCTTTGTAGAGGGGAATATAACTGGACAGCAATACTCTGGTCATGTTAAGTGAGGTCAGGCTTCCAGGATACTACTTTTACTGAGTTGCTTTATATAACACACTAGTGGCCTGATGCACAGATTTGTGCACATTGAAAGGAAATTAATTAGAAGTAAGATTCGTGCGGTAATTACGTTACTGCAAAAAATTACATGTCAAGCCCTAACCGGTTTGGCTCAGTGGATAGAGCGTCGGCCCGTGGACTGAAAGGTCCTAGGTTCGGTTCCAGTCAAGGGCATGTACCTTGGTTGCAGGCACATCCCCAGTAGGCGGTGTGCAGGAGGCAGCTGATCGATGTTTCTCTCATCGATGTTTCTAACTATCCTTCTCCCTTTCTCTCTGTAAAAAAATCAATAAAATATATTTTTAAAAAAATTACATGTCAAAATAGTATATATAATACTAGTGGCCTGGTGCACAAAATTCATACACATTAAAAGGGGATTAATTAGAGGAAATATTTTAATATTGCTATGTGACACCCTTGCTGCTTGACACAGTCGCTGCAGGGAAGAAACATCTGCACTTTCTATATAATAGAAGTGTCAGAGATGAAAGAAAATTAGTAAAATATATATGAAAATCTTCTTCCTATCAGAGTCTGGGGACCCAGAGTCAAGTCCCTGCCCACCTGCAGCACTGGGGACCCAGAGTCAAGTCCACCTGCAGCACCTCAAAATCGCACGAGACCCAGACCCAGCTGGCCCAACCCCCATTGGGAGAGATCCAGACCCGGCCGGCCCCACCCTTGTCAAGCCCCGCCCGGTGGGGGGCGCAGCCTAAGGTCCCTCGGCCCAGTGCCAGGGCAGGTGGCGCGGCCTAATGTCCCCCATCAAGCCCTCCTGGGCAGGGGGCGTGGCCTGAGGTCCCCTAGCCCAGCACCAGGGCAGGGGTCACAGACTGAGGTCCTGCATCAAGCCCTGCCCGGTAGGAGACACAGCCTGAGATCCGCTATCAAGCCCTGCCGAGCTGGGGTAGCGGTCTGAAATCCCGTCAAGCCCCACCGGGCGGGGGGTGGTGGGGGACACAGCCTCAGTTACCCTGTCAAGATCCGCTGGGTGGAGAGCGCAGCCTCAGGTCCCCTGGCCTGGGGAGAACAACCTGAGGTCCACCGGCCTGGCGCTGGGCACAGCCTGAGGTTCCCGGGGCGCACCTTGAGGTCCCATGTCAAGCCCCACCAGGCGGGGGGCACAGACTCAGGTCCCCTGCCCTGGCTCAGCACCACGCAGCCTCAGGTGCCTGCTGATTGCTCGTTAAGGCTCGTTACAGGAACTCGGCCTCTGCTGTGGGTGCAGCCATCTTGTGTTATG